CTCAGTGACCACAACCTTGAAATGAATTGGGAAGGAAGAGTAAACCAAAACCCCCAGAAAATGAAAGAACGTGCAAAAAATGCAATTCAGATCAAATTGAAGATGAAATGCATTTCATCTTAGATTGCAATTTCTAATAATAATAATAATAATAATAATGAATTTATTGCATCTTAGAAATAATTTCCATTGGTTGAATTCCATTCTATGAAGTAGAGAGAAAACATGTCTTGGAGTATTTTAAAATAAAAATTAATGACTTGTCCAGAATGGAAAGCTTTGTGAAAATAATGGGAAATAATATGGCTTTGTCATATTATTTAAAAAATACAATTTTCTAAAAGATAAATATGTAACTGTGGTCTGGGAGAACCTTGCTGCTGTTTAATCATTTTTTCAGAGATTTTCTAATTCATATTTCTTTCTATGTTGAATTTCAGTGTATTTTAATTTTAGTGTGTCTTATTTTATTTGTCTTTTGTATTCATCTTACCTTACTAAACCCACAGATGGTTAAGTTGTGTAATAAAGTTATTATTATTAAAGAATGTCATGCACACAAAAAATACATTGTATATACCCAAAGTGAAGAAAATGGGGCATTTATAACAAAAGTTATGGTGGTTTAGAAAAGATTTTCAATATTCAACTTAGTAATCATAGATCATTTTCCCAGAAGTAGCGGGACTGGGAAAGTCGTCTATTTTAGTTTGAACAGGGAGCTGTGTTGATATTAGAGCTCCCTGGTTTGAGTTAATCGGACCACCGGTTGGGGGAGCTTTGAACATAGAATAACGTTGAATTTGAGACTACCGGTATATTCAAGTATTGTCCTCATTCCTTTAATAGTCTGAAGTTGACATCTAGAAAATTCAGGTGAATTTCATTCGGAAGTCATTGTTGTTTTTTAACTCTAAAACCAATGGCACAAACGAATATAATTACGTCGAGTCGAGCTTGCTTGGTGACTCACCAAGTTCTGTCGCTAGATGGCAGACAACTTCCGGTATTTGAATAAGAGCATATCGAAGACAAAGCCAGCAGTTGAAGAAGGATTCTTCCTCTTGTACTCATGTGATGCAGAACAATTTGTAAGTCTAACGATCGTCATTACTCATAACATTAATTTTAATGGCGTATAGAACACAACTATCGTACAACTCATTACACGAATTTGTCTGTAGGAATAATACCGGTAATGAGCTACGCCGAGCGCAACACACGTCGTCATGGCGTTCTTTTTGCAATCCTCTCAGGAATAGGATAGGAATACCCCGTGGAAATTGTATAATTTACGTGCTTCTACAAGTGTTACCAGACTTCAACCATCACGTAATCGATTCCCTTCACCAGTTGTATTAGTAGTATTGTAAGTCAAGTTTAAACTGGGGTTCCTTCATCCCAGGGATTGCACAATGGAATCATGGGATACTATTATTTTCGGTAATCTTCAAGTACTGTAAAATGACTAATTTTCACTGGGTTTAAATTTCGCTGATTTACCATTTCAGGCATATTCAGTGGGTTTTAAATTCATGGTTTTATCATTTAGATATTGTGTTCTATGCTAAACTTTAAATATTTACTGGGTTTAATTTAGTGCATTTTCCAGTTAGCGAAATAAGCAAAATTAAAACTCAGTGAATAATTAATCCTTTTACAGTAATCTGTCCATTGTTTCAAGTTGTCTTATTATTGTGAAAGGATTAATTATTGACTGGATTATGGACTGGAAAATGCAGTAAATTAAAACCCAGTGAATGTGTAAAATTTAGCATTGAACACATTATCTAAATGCTAAAACCGTGAATTTAAAACCCACTGAATATGCCTGAAATGGTAAATCAGGGAAATTTAAACCAAGTGAAAATTAGTCATTTTACAGTAATCAATTCAAACAAGAAAATAAACTAAAAATTAATGCAATAAAATCCCAGTTCTGTAAGATAACCAATGAACCATTATGTGTTATACATGTATGTGCACAGTCCCTATATAGCCATCAATTTTCTACTATTATCTCATGCAGGTAATTAGTTGATATGAATTATAATAACGTCTGAGTTGCATTGCTTGAACTTATCGACTTGTATGTGGAATGGCGTATGGAAAGCTTGCCTTAGTGATAATAGCAGTTGCCATAGCAACACTTGCACAGCTGGAAGTTGACGAGGATCCATTAGTGGTGGAGAGACATGTTACCATTCCTAGAACCAAATCTGAAGTGTTTGATTATGTTGCTAATATTGAAAAAATGACAGAGGTAAGTTAGAACTCTTTTCTGTCATTTCTGCAAACTGTTTGTGCAGACATAAAATTCGACTGGCTCAGTCATGGCAATTTTTTCCTTTTTTTTAGCTCCGCTGTCGACTTTGTCGAGCGGAGCTTTTCATATGAGTGATTGTCCGTCGTCCGTCGTCGTCCGTGTCAATGTTTTACTTTTTCGACTTCTTCTTGAAAACTACAAGCCTGAATGCTTTGATACTTGGTGTATATGTACCTTGGGTAGACCTCTCTTAGGTTTGTTCATTTCATGTTGATATCTTCAATTCTCTAATTTTGGTGAATATTTTTATCATTTTTGGTAAAAAGTGATATTTTCAACTTCTTGTTAAAAACCGCAAGTCCAATTGCTTTGATACTACATATATAGGTACTACATGTGAACCTCTCTCCGATTTATTCATTTTGTAATGATATCTTCAATTCTCTAATTTTGGTGAATATTTTTGTAATTTTTGGTAAAAAGTGATATTTTCGACTTCTTGTTAAAAACCACACGTCCGATTGCTTTGATATTACATATATAGGTACTACAAGTGCACCTCTCTCAGATTTGTTCATTTTGTAATGATATCTTTAATTCTCTAATTTTGGTAAATATTTTTGTCATTTTTGGTAAAAAGTGATATTTTCCACTTCTTGCTGAAAACTGTAAGTCCGATTGCTTTGATATTACATATATAGGTACTACATGTGGACCTCTCAGATTTGTTCATTTTGTGATGATATCTTCAATTCTCTAATTAATTTATTTTGGTGAATATTTTTGTAATTTTCGGTAAAAAGTGATATTTTCGACTTCTTGTTAAAAACTGTAAGTCCGATTGCTTTGATACTATTCATATTGTTCATTTTCTAATGATGTCTTCAGTTCTTTTATTGAAATGTGCATTGCTAACAGCGGAGCTATCTCAGCCGATAGGCTGCTTGTATTACATATATAGGTACTACATGTGGACCTCTCTCAGATTTGTTCATTTTGTAATGGTATCTTTAATTCTCTAATTTTGGTGAATATTTTTGTAATTTTTGTCAAAAAGTGATATTTTCGACTTCTTGTTAAAAACCGCAAGTCCGATTGCATTTATATTACACTTATAGGTACTACATGTGGACCTCTCTCAGATTTGTTCATTTTGTAATGATATCTTTAATTCTCTAATTGTGGTGAATATTTTTGTAATATTTCGTAAAAAGTGATATCCCATTGCTTGATACTATACATATTGTTCATTTTCTAATGACATCTTCTGTTCTTTAATTGAAATGTGCATTGCTAACAGCGGAGCTATCTCAGTCGAGAGGCTGCTTGTTTACAGATGAAGTGTAGACGATTTAGCAAATATGCAGTCCTCGTATGTACTAAATCTGTGTATGAATTTTAAAAAGAGTTCACATTAAACGATCTTCTTTAAGGTCAAAGGTTAAATTAAATATTTACAGTGTTGGAGACTAAACTACCTTTCATTATCTAAATATCTCGTTTGTTACACATCTCCTGTGTATACCTGTGGTGATATACATTTCTGATTTCAGTATATAAATTCATTGTATTGTTAAAAACAGTTTCCATTTTTTTACAGCAATAAAATGTTAGTAATAGAATTCAATAAATTACTATTTCATATTTCAAATATTTGTATACACCATATTTTCCAACTTTGCTTGACTTCTCTTAAATATATTTAAATATCTAAACATCACTTTTTAATTCTTCTGGAATATTGATATTACTAATAACTGTCTTTCTGTTTGTAACTTGAATCTTTAAAAACCTGAAAATTTGTATCTTTACTCTAGGCCCTATGTTATATTCAAATCCAAGTTTTTATAAGTGTAGGTACATTCATTACCGATAAGTCTCTTGTGTTAACTTGTACAATTCTTCAAATCCATCAATCGCTGATATTTATATGAAATAGTACAAGTACAGTAGTATCATTAATGTAATTGGGCACGGAATGTTTAAATTGTAAAACATTCATTTTCAAGTAGCAGAGAAATGTTTCTTATTAGTTAAAAGCCATACAGATAATTATAGAATTTTATTTAGGAAATTGCTAATTGCTAATTCATTTGCTAATTTTTTCAAGGCATTGTGATTGTTTTAAACTTCTCATTTAAAATTTATAAAAGATGTTTATGTTCATTTCTGACCAAAACCATTCACAGCTTTCTGAAATATAATGACACACGTGACCATAGTACATTTACCAATAAGTGTTTTTAATGCTATTAGACTTTATCGTTTTTAATCCTTCTTAATTTTGCAACAGTTTGGTGATTTTAGTGTGAAAATAGCCATAAATTGAATTATATGAAATCTGGTATTAATTAGAGCAATAAAGATATTAGTGTTCCACAGTTTACAACTGTAGTGCAAGTATGTAGCAATATATTTTTAAGTTTAGAATTCCTGAAGGCATATGGATTAATTATATCTATATTAAGTATTTTTTATTTGTTTCTATTTAAACCAGGAGACAGCCACATATTCTAAGTCTGATGGAGGAGCTGGGAGTTGATAAATACAAGCAGTATACTGATGGGATTAAATTCATGCAGATTGCGGATAAAAAGATTAAGACGTACTCAAGTAACATTCCTTCCATGTCACTATTTGCATTGATTGATCTTCAGCTTTTCATTAACAGAGTACGTGTCAGTATACTTAAAGCGAGGGAGTTGTCACCTGCCCATGTGTCTTATGGCCTTAGCGTGTCATTGTTTACAAAAAAGCGTCTACACATGAGACTTTGTGTTTTTAGCGTGTGTTGTTATCATCGCATGGGACGACCCTCCCGCTTTAAAGGGCCAACAGCTGTATTTTATCAATTTGTATATCATGTATTGTTTTACTGTTTTTATATCGTAGATAATGGAAAAGTGTACGAAAGATCTTTCCTCGTTATTGTTGTTTTTAATGTTGATGTTGTTATTATTGTTGACGACTCTGGTTACACTTTTTATCGAATCATATTCAACTTGGATATATTAATTTGTGATTCAGCCAAGTTTGATTATTAAAATAGTGCAGTTACCCAATATGATAGTTTGGTTATGTCGTATAAATAATCCGCCATATTTTGGTGATTATTTTCCCTGCCCAGACTAAAATCGATGTACTACTGTGCTAAAATGATTTCTAATGACTACATGCAGTGTAATATGTTAGGATGTGTTTTAAAACGATATCTATTTTCTATGTATCCCATTTATTATTAAATACTTTTGAACACATCTATCTCAATGGATTTTGATCAACAAAAGCGACCTCCGAAAAGAAAATAGACTGAAAACTCAATAAATTTTTCCACATACATGATACACTGTTCGGACGATCCTAACATAATCTGGAATTGTTGGAAGTGCTTCTAGTGAAACAATTTTTCCACTCAGCTTAGGGGATTTTTTAAAGCAGTTAAATTTTATTCTAGGTTGAAAGAATGAGGAAAGTTGTTCCTTTAGACAACCCATCTAAAGCCAAGAAAGCATTAGAGTTGGATAGTATGACAGTAGAGACCTTTAAACGGCAACATTTAACATCAAATGGTGAGAAAGAAATCTTCTTATACTTTGAATATACATAGATTTACTCTATTTTGTTTTATTTTCGCATATTATATTAAATGTTACATTAACAATTCATTGGAAACAGTAACTATGTTCAAGGACAAAACATTGTCATAATAATAATAATAATAATAATAATAATAATAATTTAATTTATTATATATATCCATTAATTTTGCTTTCGATTTGATCAAAATAATATTTGAAAGTAGTTCTTAGAAATAACTAGATTGGCTTCAATCAAACTTTGTACGTATGATGAAAATACATATTGAATTGTGCACTTTTTTTGTTGTTGTGATATTGTTAATTGTATATCTAGATTTTTTGGCATAATTTCAGAGACTTCATAAGTTTTAGAATTTTAACACATTCAAACACATTCAACTGACTACCAAGTGTGAACAGGGCAACTGAAGAATAATACTAATAATAATATTTTTTTCAGCTGCTCGTGAAGCTATAAATGCAGCTGTTCGTGTCATGTTTGGTATGGAGTGTTGTGAAATGTCAGTACTTTATTTCCTTCATTATGCAAACTCTGCTGGTGGTCTTACTGCATTAATTGAAGCAAGTGAGGGCGCTGGTCAAGAATTCAAAATAAAGGTGTGTGTATATTTTACCATATAGTAAATTCTGATTTGTATTGACATGTCACAATTACAATACTGATAGTAATATTACTTGTACTGAAATTATAATACGATATAATTACCCATCCGTAATGTTATAATCATTTGTGATATACTGGTAAAAAAATTACATCAATTCGCATAGCATCGCATCATATCACATCACATCACATCACATCACATCACATCACATCTTATCGCATCCCATCATATCGCATCGCATCGCATTGCATCGAATCCCATCCCATCCCATCCCATCCAATCCCATAGCATCGCTCACAACGCTCACATTGCATCCCATCGCATCGCTCACATTGCATCCCATCGTATAATATAACACACTCTTTACAAAGTTACATCACACTATGGATATTCTTCAATAAGTTAAATTTATTTTTTCAGGGTGGAGCACAACCACTTAGTGAAAAGTTAGCAGACAAGATAGGAAGAGAAAATGTCTGGTTGAATGAACCTGTTGTACAAGTCAACCAGGAAGACAGATCTAAAGTAGTTATTACAACAGCAAGTGGTAAAACTGTTTCAGCAAAACGAGTTATAATGTCTGTCCCGCCTAACTTTGTAGGTAAGCTAGAGTTGTGATGTGTTTACTGCCAGACATTGCAAATAGAATGAATATAAAAGATAAAGAGCCTGTTGATCATTTCAGTTGTCAGTATGGTGGGTGTCTTTTATTTTTTTGAATTCCTGTGATATTTAAATATAAGTAAAAGTAAACCTTAATTGAAATTATATCACAAAAAAACTAAATTTACCATTCTGTAAAAACTGTATCTTTATCACCATCATTAGTTCTAACGTTCAAATTTGCCCTTATATGGGGTAAATATTGAACAAGTTCAAGATCATTAACATCACATTTGCTTTGTTTGACACAGAAATGCTACAGTGCATGATGGAGATAGAATCCCGTCATGTTTGAACAACACAAAACGTTTTTATTGGTATTACAGCCAAAACAAAGTCAGCTTGGACATTCAGTTGTGAGACAAAACAAATACAGCCAGTGTTACATTTCACAAATAAAAATACAAAATAAACGCAATCAGAGGCGGCGACCACGCGTGTTGGAAATAAATAGAGCACTTCGTTACATAGTCTCACCAGCCTCTTTCACTCACGCAATATAATTATGCTATTTCCCAACGCACTTATATAATACATTGACGGCGAAAAAAACACCGCAAAAAAATTTAAATCAGGCTTGTAATTACTAGTAACTCAACTCGACCGCAACATTGATCACTGTAAAAGTGGACAAATTCAAACCAGCCATCAAATTAAAAATTCAAACGATCTCGTTGAATGTCAATCAAAAGTAAACTCGTTGTTTAGAAAGACAAAAAACAACAACATATAAATATTACAAACAAGAGTTCAAAAAAAAGTTGGAAGCAAAGGACGAGAAATGCATGTGGAAAAGCAATGAGTGAACTCGAGGAAAATTTTGCTATTGTGAGAAAACGCTATATAGCCCGGTGGAGTACTCGCTAATACATCAAGAAAATTTACCATTTCAGAAGGCATCCTTACAAATATTTGTCTGCGATTGTGTGAACTTGATAACGTGCAAACAAGGAACAGAGCTTGTGGTCCACCAAGAAAACTTAACGATGGCGAGGTTAGATGTATACGGCTGTTGAAAACAGACTCCTTTGATCTCATATGAGCACATTCACGTGGATGATGTATCATTTTCAACTATTACCAACACTACGATGATAAAGACTCTCCGTTTTCGACATTGTGAAATTCTTTTGTTTTTATGTAGAAAATTACAGTATTTTTACCAAGTAGAATCATATTTATTACAGTTATTGTTCATACATGAGTTGTCGAAGACGCTACATAGTTTGTAATTTCATCCAGCTCCTTTCAGTCATGATTCAAGATAAATAAAAGGCACAAATATAGATAATATAGCAAATTATTATATTTTTCTGTAATGTTCGTGTGTAATCAGTAATTATAAAAATAATTTATGGGTGCATATGGAATACATTTCGTTATGAATTATTATTAATATAAATTTCTAAATTATCTTGTCAAAATCATTTTTTTCAGGGTTTTTTTCTCCTAAAAAATGAAAGAATTGCATAATGTTGAAAACGGAATATCTTTATCATAGTGTTCAACATTGTAAAATGTTGGCTTCCTGAAAAATGCACAAGGATGACAAGACCATTGCTAAAAAGACTTTCGGAGGCAAATTTAATCTCCACTCAAGGCTCTCTTGAAAGACTGCAGGAAATTGACCCTTACCAAATCATATTTATCGATTAATTGGGATTCAGCAACCCAAGTGTTTGTAACAGAGCATATCTAAAGATACGCAAAAAACCGAACTTTCGCGTGGTTTTTTTTTCATGCAAACATCGTCAATGGTTCTCAGACACAGATTCCTTTTTAACCTTTAATATATCAATATGTTGTCTTTTTCAGTTAAAATAGATTTTTGTCCATCATTACCATTGGATAAAAGGAGTCTGTTACAACGCCAGCCAATGGGACATCTTATAAAATTCATAGCAACATACAGTAATGTAAGTATAGTAATGTTTTCCCACTATTATCTGGATTGTTTAAATAGCACATAATAGTTTTTTCACATTGAGAATCCTGGAAATTTCATCTGTGAAATTTTCTATGAGTGTGTTTTGGTATGTAAATTCGTTGTGAATGTTCCTTGCAAAACTGAAATCAACCGTTGATTTTTTTTTTCTCAAGCATATTATTGTTAGTACATTCATTCAATTTTTAAACATTTCAACATTTCAGGATGTATAATAAATTAACTAAAGGACTCCATGCTGTCTATTATTATAAATGGATAGGGATGTGGTGTAATAATGAGTAAAACGCAGTCAAGCCTGTTATTTAACAACCTTATCATGCAAACGGGTGTTATCCTTTATTCAGTAAATATACATACAGTTTTTGTTATGAAAAGCATAATATCATAATTTAATGAGCATTTACTGATACATAGGATGATAGATAGTGATGCAATTTTACATACTATTCATGAATATTATGATAAAGCGGATTGTTTCAAGCGTTGATTCAAAAAGGCATCCTTTCATTGGTGATATTGAAATATTCTTATTACATTTCAGAAGTTTTGGAGAGAAAACGGTCAGTCTGGTGAAGTTGTATGTAGCTATGGTGACCCAGTATTAGCCCATGACAGTGGGCCATTATGTTTAGTTTATGATGCAACTAGTCCTAATGGTAACCCAGCACTTGTTGGCTTCCTTGGCAAATCAAGAGAATGGAGTAAAAGAAGTGTAAGTGATACTAGTATTAGAACTGTGTACAAAGTCAACTTTTGAAACCTTTAATTTTTCAACTTTTTGGCAAAATTTTGATCAAGCTGAAAAAAAATAAGACATTTTAGATAAAGCGTGGTGGTCGTCGTGCAGTGGCGAATTTCATCTAATAAACAATGTATTTTACACGCGTTGTATACGTCGCTATGAATCGTCGCTATCGAACAGGACGCGACACAACGATTGTCACCCCTTAAATGTAGAATGAAGTACCAATAATGTTTTATTTTACTGTAGTCAGAAGAACGAAAAAAAGCTGTCTTAGATCACTTGATGCAGTTTTTTGGTGAGATGGCAGGGACTCCTATTGATTATGTAGAGAAGGTGAAGTATTACCATATTTCAGTTATGTAATCTATCACAGGTAAAATAATTTTAGCTGGATTTAATTTTCGTCTTTTTGGTGTTTCGTATGGAATTTATTTTCACTGATGTTGAATGTAAAATACAGGAAAAAAGGTATATTCACTGGATTTTATTTTCACTGAATCATTCCTTCAGCAAAAATTAATTCCAAGCAAAAATACATTGTGGGCGTCAATAATTTCAACTTTGACTTTATAACTTGAATTCTATTTATGGTAGGATTGGGGAGAAGAGCCATATAATGGTGGATGTCCTGTCAGCGTGATGGTTCCTGGTGCTATCACTTACTTTCACGAATCTCTTAGAAAACCATTTGACAGGTAAATACCTTGTATTCCCTGTATAAATTTGATACAAATGCTCACCATCTTTGTGATTATTTCATATTTCTTAAATATTTGTATTTTTATGAAACATATTGCTCATCTTAATACTGGTATGGGTGCTTGATTCTGTTACCATAGCTACATCATTTGTTTATGAATGCATATTGATGTTGTGCATTCACTTAGGCAACATCTATTATTATGATTGCCATGGTAATGTAGGGTTCATCAATGTGTGATATTCAGGCTCTACCCCAGTTTGGAGCTTCTCATACTCTCTGATCATTACAAAGGTAGCAATGTTTTACTTGCACAAAGCTGTTTCTGCTACAATCTGTTTTGCTCGCACCATTCTGTCGCTTGTATGCTATCATTGCACCTCACTTTCATTGACAGGTTACATTGGGCGGGTACCGAGACAGCTACTCAGTGCATTGGATTCTTAAGTGGTGCTATACAGGCTGGTCAGCGTGCTGCAAACGAAGTATCAGCCAATCTGAATCTAGATGTTGAAGTAGCCATTGAAGCCCAGTAATGTGTGTAATTGCATTTTTAAGCTCTATTCTGAGTTTTATGGAAATATTTTGGAATTAACTTTTAAACTGTATAGAATTACACAAAATTAACAAGCATCTGGACGGCTGAGATAGCTCCGCTGTTAGCAATGCACATTGCAATTAAAGAACAGAAGATATCATTAGAAAATGTGTATAGTATCAAAGCAACAGGACTTACTGTTTTCAACAAGAATTCAAAAATATCACTTTTCACCAAAAAATTAGATAATTGAAGATATCACCACGAAATTAACAAATCTGAAAGAGGTCCACATGAAGTACCTATATATGTAATATAAAAGCAATCAGACTTGCGGTTTTCAACAAGTCAAAATTATCACTTTTTACCAAAAATTAAAAAAATATTCACCAAAATTAGAGAATAAAAGATATCACAAAATGAACAAATCTGAGAGAGGTCCACATGTAGTACCTATATATGTAATATCAAAGCAATTGGACTTGCGGTTTTTAACAAGAAGTCAAAAATATCACTTTTTACCAAAAATGACAAAAATATTCACCAAAATTAGAGAATTGAAGATATCATTACAAATAGAACAAATCTGAGAGAGGTCCACATGTAGTACCTATATATGTAATATCAAAGCAATTGGACTTGCGGTTTTTAACAAGAAGTCGAAAATATCACTTTTTACCAAAAATGACAAAAATATTCACCAAAATTAGAGAATTGAAGATGTCATCATGAAATGAACAAATCTGAGAGAGGTCTACCCAAGGTACATATACACTAAGTATCAAAGCATTCGGGCTTGTAGTTTTCAAGAAGAAGTTGAAAAAGTAAAACATTGACACGGACGACTGACGCCGGACGCCGACGGACAATCACTCATATGATAAGCTCTGCTCGACAAAGTCAACAGCGGAGCTAAAAAGTGTGAAAGGTGATGTATGCAATGTCATTCTTTCCAATGTAGTGGGAAATCATGACGCATCTGCTTGACTTTTCAATAAAATCAACACCTCTAAATGTATTAATTCATACAGGTTGTGATAGACACATTTTATCTTTTCCAGTATTAAATAGTATTTTAAGCCCTTTTGGTTGAGACATCAACAATAATAAAAAAAATAAACCAGCAATCAAATTTAGTAATATCATTTATAGAGCCCATATTAGAGGTCAAAGCACTCTGAATGTCAAAATAATAAATTTTTCACACATTTCTCAAAATTCAACCCATAAAGATTTTGTACAAACAAAGAAATTCTAGAAATACATAAAAATGTGAAGAAAATTGCACTAAAATTGTTACTGTGAAAATAATGGTATTCAAGTGATTAATATCAAAGCTGAGAATGTGATATCATGAAAAATGTATGTGCATGATTCACATGTACATCAGTATCTAAAATAATTTTGGAAAATCTGTTGATATTCTCTAAATATGTGGGGGGGGGGAATCTTTAAACATGAATCAGATTTTGAAAAATTGAATGAACTTCCAAATGGATACAATATATGCTCTAATAATATTTAAAAAAAATTCTGTATTTTGTTTAGATGCTTTTACAACTTTATGCGGAAAGAGTTATATTTGTACCCCCCATCCCTAACCCTACCCCTACCCTCCAGCACTCCCCATTTAATTGTACATGCCCCTCCTAAGGACATCTATAGTTATCTAGAGGGGGCATATACAAATGAATTGGGTAACTGGGAGTGAGTGTTAGGGTAAGGGATGGGCGTACAAAAGGAACTCTTGCCCTTTATGCTTATTTGACATTATATTGACTACATATGCAAAGTTCCTATGAATATATTGTTCAACAAATTCAGTTTCAGTAATTGTAATTAATAACTTTTCTAGCTATGATGTATCAGAACATGAATGTGTATATATGAAAATCATATTTTATAATTTTTTTAATTTATTTCTACAATAAATTGTCCTATATATTTCATTACTGGTGTTTTATACATGGTTATTGTAAGATTCTCTGCTAAATATAAACTAGATTAAACAAGTTACCAATACTTGTTTGTGAAATGGTTTAACTGTCAGTTATATACACACATTTAGCTGCAGTGCAGAATTGATGACACTTTATTTTAACATGTGACTGTTACTATAGTAACTCATGTTTAACCTGCTGACTGTTCGACATACTCAGCTATGCTATATACTCATTTAGCTGCAGTGCTGTAGTAACTCTCCATGTTTTCATAGAAAACTTTTTCTCAAATTTCCTACCTCCTCACCTACCGGTAGATTATAAATGGTCACCTCCTATGATAATTTCCAAAACAGTAAGTCATGCATCCTGTCAATTCTTGTATGTGGTGTACATGTGTGTGTTAACAACTTTGATACATATTTGTCAATATCTGTTGAAATATTTGATGTTATTATTAAAATTATTGATGTGATGCATTTTTTACTAGAATTCACTGGGCTGGGACCGAAACGGCTAGTATTGCTGTTGGATATCTCAGCGGAGCCGTTCAATCTGGGATACGTGCATGTGTGGAAGTTGTTTCCCATCTCCAACCATCATTGGTAAAAGACACAGACAGAACAAAAATAACACCTTGTGGTTTTCAACACCAGTCTGCGGCTGAATCTAACTTCTTTAAATCAGTGGTAATTAATATGTTAATAGGTCTCACCTTGGCAATGATTGTTTATTTCATTTACAACTAATACAGAACAAAATTTTTGTTCAGAGAGCCCATTAATTTACATTTGTTTGCAGTAATAATGTAACTTCACTACATAGGATCACACTCCACATGGTATATTTTGTGAATCTCCGTAGTCAATAAGTGTGAAATAGAAACTTTTTGTTTTTAGGCTGAGAAAGAGGTTATGATCAAGTTACTATAGATCATTAATGAAAGTATTTGTGAAAAATATCCAATTGAAAATAATTGTATTATAAGGCTTTTGTAAATACATAACCATCAATATAAATACAAAACTTTTGTGACAAATATTACAATAAAAACAAAAGTTCTGCATAATCAAATCTGTGGTGGTGCTATAACATGAAAAGATGCATTCCAGTAACATTTATTCATAGAACCCTTTACGGTCTATAGCTTAAGACATGAAGTTGAATTGAATTAGTACTGCAAACCACTTCTGTATATATTAACACTGGTCTGTATTTACTGTGAATACATGTTTTGTTGGATTGAAATGTTAATAAACAAGGAACATTGGAAACAATTTTTTTTTTCATCTTTCAAATTAATAGTTCTGACTGACTTTTTCAATTTTTGTCAATTTGTAATTTTTGTCTTTAATCTTAGCTAGATTTAATATACAATGGTTAATTGGTGTAAAGCTGTTTTGATAATTTGTTAAACTTCTTAATGTTTATTCTTTAAAAGCTTTTAAATAATTGTATCAATAAAGATTTCTCATAAAATAAAATCTACTGCAATAATAGATATATTAGTTATGAAATTGTCATTTTGTTTAATTTTCTGTTTCCATAACAGCTTTTGTCACATAACACTATTACGGAAAAGTTGAAATTGTTTGTATAGAACCTTTATTTGCCCCCAGGCATTTGGTGGTCCAATAGAGTATAGATTGCTGACATCCATTTTTATTCAAGATTCTCATTTGAACTTATTCATACTATTTGATATCAGGTTTTGTTAGAAAACAATGTACATCCATACTGGATGCAAAGGCCTACAAATAAATTAATTAATAGTGGGTTTATTAGAAAGCCAGTGTTAATTAATTGTGATAATCAATTTGGTATCATTTATTCATACACAACAGATTGTCACATTCTGTGATACAATCCTGAAAGTAATCTGTATTTTTGTTAGACTTTTCTGTACACACCCATTTCTTGGCAACCCTAATGGCTTCAAGGGTCTTACTTTTGATCCAACATGGAATTAGATGTCCAGATATGCTCCCAAAAATCTCATTAGGTTTTTTCCTTATTTGAAATTTTATTCACATATGCTAGACATTAATTTCTTTATTCATGTTTTCTCATTATTTTAAATCATCTGTAGCAATTTGTGTTTTCTAGTCCCAAGTTTTCAAATTGATAACCCCTTACTTGTTTTTAAGACTGGGTAATCCAATGCCATTTCCATTGCATGCTAGTAACAGGTGTTTGTATACAACATTACATTTGTTATTGCAAACCTTGTAAATGTCAACTAGGCTTCAAAAAAGTGTGGATTTACAGGAATAAATGAACAACTACATTAAATATAAAGTATTCATGTAATTTTTTTTATGACTATTTTGTTATCTCATTGTCATGTTAACACAGGACTTTAAATGACTAGCTTTGTTTTAAGTTATTGCACCCTTGCTGATGGATTCACTCGGACATGAACCACGTGGCATTAACTCATACCGACCAAGCATTAAAAGTTATATTATAGTATATAGGGTAAACACAAACTCACTTTTATACCTTGGCACATGGAGTAAAAACTCACTGAACAATCATTATACAAAAACAACACAACATATATGGCAGTTATTTCAATTTTATTGGCTAGCGATGTATAAGTATAAGCTGTCATTTAAGAAATATGAACGTTCATACGTTACAGTCTTCATGTGATATGAGTTGTTGCATATAGCCAATGCTGGGATGGTATTGTCTATATCGGACATGCCCAAATATGGTGTGTTCTTGAGAATAGTGTGGACAATTCCATGCAGGCACAGCAGAGCAATTGAATACTATGAATAAAATAAAGTAAATCTGGTTGCCTACTGTAAGATGTAAAGCTGTATCTGATTGGCTACTGAAGCAGTTACTCTATATTGTAGAATGTAAAGCTGTTTCTGATTGGCTACTGAAGCAGATACTCTACATAGTAGAATGTAAACCTGTTTTTGATAAGCAAATTCAAATCACTTCACTGAGTGGCAAGTACTAGTACATTTAAACTCTGCTGTCACTGGTCTAGCATATTTTTTTCCTTTTATAAAAACCTTCTGTTGAAAGATCCCTATAAAGAAAATACTTTTAAAGTGAAAAATTGACAAATTACCAATACACCATATTACCATGGAAATGTAAAAAATAACTGCAAATAGTTTATTGTTAAAACCCAATACTATAATATATTATTAGTTAATATTTAGTAATTTGTTACACATAATAAAAGTGATAACACTAATATTCAGCAAAGCATAGATTCATACTACTGGTAGATAATAAAACTTACTCCACAAAAAGAACTACTTTTGTATGAACCACAATTGTATATGATATGTAACCTTTTACACCGACTGTATAAATACAAACATGTACACAGTAAACAAGCAACATAAAGAGAAATGGTTTGGAATTAAAGTCAAATATAGTTGGCACAAGTTACTTCATACCGATGGAACAACTTAATTGCAATCTACTTTGTAATTGACTCATACCAACTATAGGAAGTAAAGTAAGAAAATAACACCGAATAAACGGCAAGGTAAATACTACGTCTAATTATAGTAAACACGTACTGTGTGCGTGACTCGAACCGGCGCTCGCGTACGGCACCTAATCGCCTAGCTTCATGCCACTACACGTCTTCCCCTCGGCCACCGGGCATCCCCAAAAAAGGATGCTTAATAACCGAGCTTATTACGTGCAGAGAACATGAAACCCGTCCACGCGATCCGCGCCACACAGCGTGGCCTATGTTAGGCTACAGTCTATAGGTTATAGATTAATGATGGACAGGAATTTTATAACATGGCTGAGATATTTCCACCAATCAGATCGCATGATATGCTCATTCTATTATTAACATATATACTTGAGGAATTTAGGAATATGAACGCCATCATTTGGATTGGCTGTTGAAAGGAATAGAATTGCTTGGAACTTTATTCTAATTGTTCGATTTGCAGTTCAAGTCACTTTGATTAAATGTCAATTTTGTTATCACAATTAACAATGATACTGAAAATAACGCTAACAATATCATTAGTGAGATCAATAGCGAAATTAACATGACATCGACAAAAGTCGCCCAAGATAAACACGACTATGACTGCAACCTTGTTCGAAGACAGGAGAGTAGCGAGTCATATCAACAATATATTTTTTTTTTCATTAGTAATTCATGTTACATATGGTTACTATGTTTTGATCCTCCTGTCTTGTTTAGTGTCTATTTTATAATACAATTTTAGGACTTTTTACTGTAAATATATTGTTTAGGTGCAATCACCTGTGTATGAGGTAATAACACCATCACAAGTGCTGACTTCACTTTTTTTTTGGATTATTATTTCTGTTTATTGATGTTTTAGAATGTTGTAGCTTTTGTTACTGAATTACAGAATGATATGTTGCTGATCGCCTTGTTTCAAAATTAATTTCTACACAAATTGACACACTCAAAAAGTAGGACAAAAAGCATATAGACAGAACTTGATACGTTGAAAAAAACCTGTCAACGAACAAGCTGCTCTCTGATTGGTCAGATTGTTAGGGATGGGTAGCCAATCAGATATGATCTTGTTAGTAGATTTGTATTGAAAAACAAGAAATACAATAAATATGGAATGCACAAACAAAGTTTATATGAACTAAACATTTACAAAAGACATGATAGTATTTATTTTAATCTTCAACTAGTCAAGAAAGTTAAATTTTAATGCATGCATCCCTGAAATTACCACAAAACAACATATACACCATATAAATATTTACATTTAATTTAAGCTGCTGCCATTTCAC